TCTACGATGATCATCATGTCAACAAGCTTATCCTTGAGAGGTGAGAACTTCTCGAAGGTGCGATTTTTTGCGGGACGCCTCTCTTCTTCTCTATTATAGTTGTGGCTTCCATCGTCACGCTTTCGCTTAAGGGGTACCCTCTTCTCTCCAGTCTCCTCAATCCGAACGTACTTCTCAATGCGGTTCAGGAGCTCCTCTAGGGTCATAGTGATGTACTCTTGAAAATGAACTTGCTTCAAATTGTGTTGCATGATGTCGGTTAACATTTCGTGATTAAGGAGGGGCACTTCATGTACTGCTTTAACAAATTGTTGTTGGTAATTCATGAGCGACTCTCCGTCCCGCTGTATAACCTTGAAGATATACGACCCCGTTTTGGCATATTTCTTGCTTATAGAGTATTGGTGAAGGAAAATCGTCGCTAGTTGGTCCAGATTGTCTATGGACCATCCGGACAAGTCGTTGAACCAAATTTGTGCTTGATCAGCTAGCATGGTCTGAAAAATCTTGCAGTAAGCTGCGTTACTAAGGCCGTAGAGGTCAATCTTGGCGTAAAAGTTAGGGATCCCCGGTTCCGTCGAATTGGGGGGAGATTGGGATCCTGAATCCGATAGACAACGCTTCTATAATAGCAGGAATAAATGGGTAATCCGGGTGGAGAATGCCCCAAAGTGAGCGATCGTCGACCTCGAGACTTCTCGCCGAGGACTCCTTGAGTTGCAGTCGCCAGAGCCTGGTCGATGCCTTCTTGTTTCCTGGTGTCGGGAAGCTCTACTTCAGAGTTGGTTTCGAGGGGAGTTTTTGCGATGGTGCGCATCTTCGCGGTGTCCCCTGCCTCGAGGCCTTTGACGATAGTCATACGACCGGGAATAACCACTTCTCGTCCGACGGCTTTGCGTCGCTCTCTCCCTTGATGGGACTCGGGATCTTTGCCTTAGTGGACCCTGTGATTTGTGACGAGTTTCCCTTCAAGGCACACAGTCTGAGGATGTGTTACGCTGAGGCGGTGAGCGTTTCTTCGAGGCGCGTGGTCTGAGGATGTGCTACGCTGAGGCGAGTGGTGGTGGGCGTATCTTCGAGGAGCCCGTTCGAAGGAATAATTTTGGTCGTTAAGCGATACACTTTCCTCTGAGTCATGGAGCTCCACAATTGGCGAATTGGTACGGACATGCACGGAATCCGTAGGATCGCTTCCCATATGAATAGTTTCTTCAAAGTCAGTTGTGCTTTGAGCATTGATATACTGAGCTACAACGTTCGTCTCTGCCTAAGCTGCTACTTTGGCCACCGTCTTTTCCGATAAGGCTTGTACTTCCTCTGCAGTCATCTAGATGACCGGCGCTGAAGATCCTGCAAGGTTGGCCGCTCCCATTGTTCTCCTTCTTTCGAGGTGGCTCTATGACTCCAGCGCTACCTTGAAGCGGTTGGTTGAGATCTCCTTGACCACCTTCGTTGGTCGCTCCGTAGTTCTTTTCGTTCGAGGCGACTCTGGGACTCCACAGCTACCTTGAAGCGGTTGGTTAAGATCGCCTTGACCCTCTTTGTTGGCCGCTTCCGTAGTTATTTTCCTTCGAGGTGGCTCTAGACCTCCGCCACTACCTCGAGGCGGCTGGTTGACATTGCCTTGACCACTTTCGTTGGCCGCTCCCGTAGATATTTTCCTTTGAGGCAGCTCTGAGACTCCACCGCTACCTTGAAGCGATTAGTTGAGATCGCCTTGACCCTCTTCGTTGGCCGCTCCCGTAGTTCTTTTGCTTCGAGGCAGCTCTTCCTCCGAGACAACTCTGAGACTCCACCGCTACCTTGAAGTGAGTGGTTGGGATCGCCTTGATCCTCTTCGTTGGCCGCTCCCATAGTTCTTTTGCTTCGAGGCGGATCTTCCTTCGAGGCAGCTCTGAGACTCCACCGCTACCTTGAAGCGAGTGGTTAGGATCGCCTTGATCCTCTTCGTTGGCCGCTCCTATAGTTCTTTTGCTTCGACTCTGAGACTCTGCAGTTACCTCGAGGCGGCTGGTTGAGATCGCCTTGACCACCTCCGTTCGCGACACGCGCTCTAGTTTGCCTTCCCACAGACGGCGCCAAAATGATGTTGCTCCAAAATGTTGGGTCAGCCCAATGGTCTTGAAGCCACAGGTCTTCTAAGTCCGTGAATCTTCAAGCCCAATATCGAGAATGCCGAGAGTCCTTGCCACGCGTCCGAGGTAGTCAAAGGGATCGCTCCACTTGTTAACCTGCAAAACAGTTGAAAAGACTAGGTGACACGCCGGGGGTGGCCCGGCGATTGTCCTCCGACGCTCAAGTCAGAAAACTATCACAATATAAACAATTAATTACCTAAATAGTGCGTACCTTCTTGTGTGTATGATAACACATATTTATAGGTGGAGTTTGATATGGTTTTCTTGTTAAAAACCAATGTGGGACAAATTGAATGTAATTAAGAATGTTAATTGGGGTTTTCCTCTAGATGGGTCAATTTGAGCATCTTGGGCCAGACTCCAATTATACACATCATTGAGTGTTATAAATTGGTTTTTCTTTTAGATAGGCCAATTTAAGCATCTTGGGCATAACTCCAATTATACACATCAATATTGAAGTTTAATGTTTTGTTTCTCGAATTTTGAGGAGCACATTTTGGGTCATTAAATGTACTAAAATGTTAAATGTCGTTTCAATTTTACTAATGTTGTTTTGACTTCGAACCTAATTTTGACGTATTTCTATTTTGATTTTGGCAAAATTCGAAACACGAAAACTGTAGTCATTTGGGTTAGCTTTCTAATCCAACTTAAATCTGTTAGATTGGATGCCGTGTGACAAAGTTATGCATGAATAGGTTACAATTTGAATTTTAGATACCTCAATACATCAAAGTTGTCCATTGATTCATGTATATCTTTCTCATTCGACATCCAATTTTAGTGATTCAAGTTGGATTAGAAACTAACTCAAAATACTACAAATTCTATTTTTCGGGTTTTGCAAAATTTAGAATTAATATTGAACAAAATCACGTTTGAAGTCGTAACGGTATTATTAAAGCTCGAATGACATTTATCACATCCCTTAAATGTAATGCATGTTGAGTGGTGTCCCAGCAACGAGGTGCTTGCTTCGGGACGATGCGCTACAATATCATTTGACTCATACGTGTTGATTACCAATAATCATTCAACAAATATTTACCAATTTGGTAATTTGTCATTCCACTAGGGTCTCGTTTGGTTGCCAAAATAAGATTAGCCAATATAAAATTATATAATCTAATGAAAACACAATTATTTTATCAAATCCCGCGACGTTCAACAGAAAAACTCCCTAACAAGATAATATTTGCTGGTCCACCGACAAGTTATTGAGATTACCAAATATCAAACAAAGTTCAATTATTTAGTTAATAATGGCTAATCTCCCCAACCAAACGAGGCATAACTCGATAACCACAAAACTAGCAAAACTAAACCATGACATGGTGGCAACTCTAAAGATTTAATAAACCAAAAAACGAGTGAAACAAAACAAGAATCTTAAATATAATAGCAGATAGCAAGTATATTTTCAAAATTAACAAGTTAATCATAACTACACACCATCAACTATTTCACGAAAAGGGAAAAAATAAAAATAGATTCTAAACACTTCATAGTCCTATAAACATTACGAAGAACACATTATATTCCATGAGAGAATATAACTTATCAACTTCGAATAACCTGCAAATGCAAAATCCCAAAAGGTGTTACATGCCAGTAAAAATCATAGAATCGAAAGTTGTTGGAGCACAAATATCAATAACACAAGTGATAAGATTCACATACTTCACGCACTACATTGCAGGCAGCACAACATTCAAGAGATCACGGAAGAAGACATCACAAATTCAAGTCTAACGTGATTTTAAAATTAATAATTACCAGTTTCTTCTTTCCATTCAAAATATGGTAATAGAAATATATTTTGTTCAATTTGAGGAATATAAACCAGAAGTACAATTTTTCAAATAGGGACATCAGTCTTCGAAGATATGTAACCATAAACTAACTATAGTATCGGAATTGTTTCTAGAGCGATTGGCCAAGGCAAAGTGTATACACCATATTCAAGAAAAGTCTGAAAAGTTGGTCAAGTCTCCTAACCATGGGAAGTAATTTTTTGATACACTTTGTGACTCTCGTAACTTAGAATCAGACGAGTAGGAAGCAAAGTATCTCACTAACTCAATTTTTGTATGATAGCATCTCTGTTTAATTTTGAAGATGTAATAAAGGCTGAACATGTAGATACTCACTGATCAACATGTAGCAACTACACCCATATATTTATCTAATCAACTGCATAGATGGTATCTTGAGAATTGATGTGGGCATATGAGATGTATTGTAGGAATGTACAATAATACGTATGGTAAGCAATTATATAAACATATACGACTTTACTAATAACCGTGCTGATAGTTGGGGTACTATTTATATTGCATGACGCAAACATAGTTGGATGCAGTTAGATGTACTAGCAGATTCCTCTGCACACGAATTTAAAATTAATGAACACCACAGATCTAAAATTATCTTATTGCGTCATTTTCTCTAATCAGATTCTATCAGAATGCTTTACTTATAACCGCGTCAACTCTGACGAAATTGAGTTTGCTATAGTCCACCAGCAAATGAGACCACAACATGGTTGGTCATACTTGCTTTTGGTAATATTTGCTAGAAATAAACAAATATGTGCTTTGTCATCAATCAGATGAGAAAGAAGCAAAGTAGCTCAATAACTCAATTTTGCTAAATTTTGCATGATAGCATCTCTGTTTAATTTTGAAGATGTAAAAAAATCTGAACATATAGATTCTCATTGATCAACATGTAGCAAAATCACCCATATATAAACGCATATAGGTAAATGAAAAACGAAAGTCAATAACATCATTGGACATATAGGAGCTTAAGATAACAAAAAAACACAGTAAATCTTGAATTGAAAAAAAAAATTACCTATAACAGCTAAGCAGCAGGATGTGAAATTGCACTTGCATCGACAATATCAACGGATAGTATGCCAATATGATCGATTCCAAATAGCATCTCTGTCTGGAAAGTTTTGGCAGAGGCATCATCATCATCATCGCACTTGGCGGTAAACGTCAAATACAATGTGTGACGGTAAGTGATGGGTAGACTTCTGGATGCTCCCACCACTTCCACCAACTTGTATTTACTAGACTACGCTCGCGCACACACCAACAGAAAAAGAAGAAGAAGAAACAAGTTATCATCGAATTTGGACTGAAAACAAAAACGAACATAAAATTTGAACGAAAAAAAAAAAAAGCTTACGTTTTTTTTGTTGTAGGCATTGGTTGCTAGTTGAGCATAAACATTGAGATCATGCAGGAGTATGGGATCATCATCTTTGCCGGAGGAATCTCGGTCATACAAAAGCTTGGCCACAGGTCGCTACAAATTTATATGATAAATTGAGGTTAATAATTTATTGAAATAATATTCCAAATAATTGAAATTAGAATAAATTGACGGGAAAAAAAAAAGAAAAAAGAAAAAAACAAAAAGACAAGGGTTGAGGCCGGAAAACATACGCCGAACATAAATAGCCGAACGATCCCCTTCTTACTCATCCTTGACTCGCTCGTCTTCGTAACTAATTCAGATTCCTCCTTTTGCAATTTCTTCACTTGTCTAAGCAATTTGATTATCCTTAACTTCAACTTCCCTGTTTCCGATTCCGATTCCGATTCCGTTTCCTCCTTCAATTTTTCGACTTGTGTCAATATCGTCTTCATCTTTAACTTACGGTTCTCCATGCCCCGTTTAGGTTCCTCTGATTCGTTGTCGTGCAATTCCGAAAATCTCACGTCGGATCCACAGCTAGCCATCTCTCTCTCTCTCTCTCTCTCTCTCTCTCTCTCTCTCTCTCTCTCTCTACGAAGCCCTATAATTTCTTCCCTTCTATTTTCCAAGGTATTCTAATCGGCTCATGTCTGGTTTCTAACGTTTCTTAAAGAGAGCGAAGTAAATGGGCTGGACTCTTGGGGAGTGGGTTGGGATAACCCTTTCAATAGGTAGTTATTCATAAAGGGTCATAACAAAAATTTACAAAAAAGTCTAACACATTGGACAGAGATTTGTAAGAGACAATAATAGCCAATCACATTTCAATATGCTCAAATTTTATCATTTAATATAATTTAACATTAAATTTCATAAGTTATTTAATTTTGACCCAAAACATAATTTTATGGACAATTTCATTCGTCGCCGCCGGTCTCTATCATTGACTTTTTTAATCTTTTTTTCCTGGTTTTTCCACCGGTTTCCGGCGTTGACCGACTGTCATTGCCGGTCTCCGGCATTGACTTTTTTGATTTTTTTTCTTCCTAAATTTTTCATCGCCGGTCTCCGGCGTTGACTTTTTCAATTTTTCTTTTTTTTCACCCCTAATTTTTCAACCGGCGTTGACCTGACGTTGACTTTTTTGATTTTTGAATTTTTTTTTTCTTTAACATCTTCCCCCGTTTAAACAACAATATTGTTGTGGTTGACAGTAAATTTAACTATACTACAGTTTAACACATTAATCTCTAACACAATAATATTAACACAACAAAAGTTATTATTTCTTTGTAATAGAGTAATATTAATATATTGACCGTTCAACAAAGGTAAACATAATAAAAATATTGATGTGGTTGATAGTAATATTATTGTAACAACATTTACGGTAATATTACAATAGTAAACATTTATATTATTAAGTTACTCGGTCAACAACTCAGACAAAACCAAAAAACCCAAAAATTTAATAATATTGATGTGGTTGACAGTAATATTATTGTGTTTACAGTTATTTTACTATCAACCACGATAATATAATTACGTAAACTTGTTAACAAATCAAACAAAATAAAATAAAATAAAAACCAAAAAAATAATATTATTCTCGTTGACTCTAATTGTACTATCAAGGACAGTACAGTTACATAAATGTACCGTCAACGACAGTATAATTACATTAATATACTGTCAGTGACAGTATAATTACTGTTAATGACAGTACAATTAAGATTAACGTTTAGCTGCAGACGTATCAACGCCGGAGACCGACGGTCAACTCAAGAAACTGGCGGCGGAAAAAACAAACAAGAAAAAAAATCCAAAAAGTCAACGCCGGAGACGGCGGTCAATGCTGAAAACCGGCGGCGAAAACAAATAAAGTCAACGCCGAAAACCGGCGCCAAAAAAATAATTTCAGAAAAAAAAAAAAAAGTTGAAAAAAAAAGTCAAAATTATTTTTTTGCGGTTAAAATTGATTAAATTATGGTTACAAGTAAGAATTGGTTGTAAAGTGTTGCGGGTAATTTTGTCATATAAATTAATTTTTCCTTTATTTATAAGGTAAAATAGCACTGAACCTCCTTGTGGTTTGCACATTTTGCACATGACCCCCTTATGGTAAGAAATTAGGCACATAACGCCATTGTGGTTTGACATTGCACATGAGCCCCTTATTATATGAAATTATGCACATAACCCCCTTATCGTTTTGACATTTTGTACAGGACCCCCTTATGGTATGAAATTAGCACATAACCCCTTGAATAGAGAACAGGAAAAGACTAAACTACCCCTATCAAATCAAAAATTCTTGTTTTAATTTAAAAATAAGTATTCTATAAAACGAAAAGCTTAATGTACTTTTTTTGTAAAGTGAGAAATATAATATATTATTGTGTTTTTTTAATTTTACACAATAATATGGCGGCGTTTTTATTTGCGGCGGAAATGTTTTTATATAATCATATTTTAGTGGGTTAATACCATTTCGCCACCTAAACTTCGCCCACTTTTGCACTTTACCACCTTAATTAAAAAAAGTTACAAGGGCACACCCAAACTCTTTTTTTTATGCACATAACCACCTAAGGGGAATATTCCGGCGAAATTTCTCATTTTGCGGCACACGCTCGATGGACATGCTTAGTGGAAGGGGTTTTTTGGTCATTTGACCTCAATTTTTTTGTGGGGCCTTCCCCCCCCCCCCCCTCTCTCTCTCTCTCTCTCTCTCTCTCTCTCTCTCTCTCTCTCTCTCTCTCTCTCTCTCTCTCTCTCTCTCTCTCTCTCTCTTATACAGACATCCCCATCATTATCTTCTTCTTCCTTCTTTCTTTGTGCTTTTCTCAAGAATCAATCTTCATCCGCCGCCGTCGCTGCATCCTCGTTGAAAATAATGGGGATGAATTGCAGCTCATCGGCGTGGGCATTCTGGCGGTTCTTGCAGGAGGGCTCCTCCCCCGATCACAACAGCACCACCGTACAACGTAACGACGTCGGTGAGATCGAAGCCAACTCCAATCATAACGATGATAATCCGCAGCAACAGATTGCGGCCACAGTGAGCCCACCCCCAAATATTCTTATACATTTTGAGGAGTATCGGGCCTTCCTTAAAAGCCGCCTCAAGTTGGTATGCACCGTCGTCGCTTTGTCCTGGCTACAAGCTTTTTTTCTTATCCAATTTTATTTGTTAAGGAAATAGGAAAAATAGTGAAATTCCATCTTTGATGATGCTAGGCTGAGTATTTGTACCATATGTTTTTTGTTGTATACCTTATGGTTCTTTCCACATGTTTAATCTCCATCTTTTGTATAATTTATGATATTTACTACAATATGAGTTCTCTATATTGTTGGGTGCGAAATACCAACACGCAAGTGCACGTATCGCAAAGAAGTAGTAAAGTGGACTCGTGAGAGTCGGATGTCGATCCCACAGGGCATACTCAAATTATTTAATCTTAAGTACCAAATTTTAACAACTATGATTTTTATCCAGCCTACGCAAGTTTGTCAAATTAATCAACTAAACAATTAAACTTATTAAGAAAGCAATTAAACACGAGAAAATATCAATATAAAACCGGATCTAGGATTTTATCTTCCCCCTATGCAAGAATTGCTCACCCAAAACCCCTCAATTATGAAATATATGATTCATGATTATTAACCCGAGACACTAATTTACTCATAACCCGATGTCGCGTGTATTATGAGTCTATTATTCATAAACGGTTCACTATATGTCTATGCAAACAAATTATGAATAAAGCATTAACTAACAAGTCTCGTAATTGATTACCTAAGGTGATATCTGTATGTCTACGACACCACATGCAATTGACACACTCATCCGGTGAAAACTACTCGAAGGTTCTTATACTTACCGTCTAATTATCAAAATAGCTCTGTCGAGTCAATCCCAATAATCACAGATAAAGCACATAAATTGATCAAGTTCATGCACTAACAATCAAAACAAGTAGAAGAAATAATCATAAAATCATAATTGCATAATCTCAAGAAAACGGGTTCACCATCCCCACATAGGGTTCCAACAAAATCCTTGATTAAAAGCTTAGCTACTCGTAATTCTTATGATAAATAAAATAGAATTAATAAAAGAAATAAGAAAAAACTATGCTTGTGTCTTCGTTGATCTTCGTTCTTCGCGTTTTGTGGTATAAATTTTTTTTCTTATGGTGTAGAGAATTGTTGCTTTTATAGGCTTTTCTTGATAAGGAAGTAGTGGAAACCTAATAGGAATCAATTTCCGCCACTTTCCCCCATCAGGATTTGTTCGTCGATTTGTGTCATGTTAGAGTCCGAATTTTGGAATGCTGTGTAAATAAGAATTGTAGCCCTTGAAATTAGCTTTCCAATGCCGTAAACATCACCTAATTCGGAGTTCATATGAGAGAGATATGCTCAAAATAGTGGACATTGTCAAAGCTGTGGCGAGATTCCTTCTTCTAATTTGATTTGTTTCCTTATTTGCAACTTTTTTTTCCTTTCTTTTTGATCTTTTTTCCTTCATGGACACCTAATTCTCGTTTTCACCTATAAAACACAAAATCAATCAATTAAAGCACAAATATAATTAAATCTAAACAAAAGATCCACGTAAAGTAAACATATTCACTGTAATATCTACACTCAACACACCCCCAAACTTGAACTTTTGCTTGTCCTCAAGCGATATATAATCGTAAGCAAATAACTCAACTACCGCATCTTATCACATAGATTAATGACCAACCTCATGTTTTCAGAAGTTGTAATTATAATGAAAATTCATAGGCATTTGCAAGCTCAAAATTCAAAAGCACGTAGTCACTTACCATAGCCATAAACCACAAATCATGCAATTACTTCAAGCATCCAATATTTGTAAATTAAAGATAGAAAAAATTTATGCTTACATGTATATGTTTGACTCCAAATACTCACCAAAATATTCTGAGTCTACTAATATCGAATATTAAGCTATTGGGATCATTGGGGCTTTTTGGCTTTCAATTGTTAGGCTATTTGGTTCGAGGTAGGAAATATGGGTATATGTGGCTATTCTTCTTGAATTGAGGTGATTACGCCAAAATTTGAAAGATAGGCGTTTGAAACAATGAATTCACCTCTAAGGACTTTAATAAACTCGATTCTCAAGAGTTCAAAAGTCTCCACTTTTGCTCTTAAGACAATGGATCGAGTTTTCAAAACAATTCAACAACTAGTCCTTACTTATATATATATATATATATATATATATATATATATATATATATATATATATATATATATATATATATATATATATATATATATATATATATATATATAAGCATATATATATTTGTCTTTTTTTTTTCCGAAGAAGAAGGACCTTATAAAATTTTTCAACCGAACTCCATTGGGTAATTTTTCAAGAATATCCATCTATTATACCTTATACACATTGGATAAAAGAAAGAACACATTTTCTCCGAGGCTCAAATCAAGGTTTTAAGGAAAATTTCGATAAAAAGGTCGGCTTGAAAGGCTCAAACGGATCAAAGAAGGCCCAAATCATATCTCAAATCACTCACTACTCAATACTTTGTATCATAAATTTCCTAAGGTGAGGTCTAAAACCGAACATAGCATGATCTAACACAAATTAACTCCAAATTTAAAATACAA